TCACTTCTCTCTTTTATATCTCAAAAGAGATTGGCTTAAGACACCATCCAATCTTGTATACCTCATCAGTATAACTGCTGCTAATCCATCTTATTCCATCATAGTGATAGAGTTTACAACACATAAGGAAATCACATCAGATTACAAAATGCTACACAATCATACAGTACTGGGAATCATGACCCAGCCAAGTTGACAGATATTTTGGGGGGACACAGTTCAATCTATGACAAGGTTTTTGTAGCATGTTCGCTGTGCTAGCCGTTGCATTAGGCATTTATGCAGAGTTGCCGAAGCATCACACTCAGGCCTCACAACAACCTGGCCAAGTGTAAGCATTCCAATCCTATTCTGCAGACGAAGAAACAAAGGTTCAGAGATTGCATAACCTGCCCGGCACAAACAGCTCGTGAGCGGCTGAAAGCCCAGACTGTTTCTCCTACACCATGTTACAAAAAAAACTGAGACTACGGAAAAAAGTGGTATATCCCACTGAAGTTAAACTAAAAATTTCCACTTATATTTCCTTTTCATTTTTCACCACACAGCAGCAAGGCCTAGCTCATCTCTGGTGCATTTCTCTTTGACTTATCTGCGGTGGCAGTATAGATTTGCAACACTACAGGGTACTGTATAAAATAAATTTTGTAGGAGTATTTTCACTTAATTTTTCCTAAATAATGAGAATGCTTCTACAGTATTTATGCCAACCTAGATTTTGGCAGGGCATGACTGTACATGGGAATCTTCCAGAAAAACAGTTCCACTAGGAATTATCTTTCCTTACAGATTTTGACTAGCCCCTGTTTTTTTTCAAGGCTCTCTCTCCCTGCAGGAGAGAGGCCTCAGGGCTAGCGTGAAAGCTTGCATATTTTATCTCGTGTGACTCCTGCCCTTGGCATTAAGTATTTCACTAAGATTCCAAGTGTAACTCTTCAGAGACTGAGAGAAGCTGGATTTGGCCAGACTAAGAGAATCTGTTTAAAGATACTTTAATGTATATTTCTTTAAAACAAACAAAACAGTATACAGCATTGTCCTAGTTATCTAGTGCTGCTATAACAGAAATACCACAAGTGGATGGCTTTAACAAAGAGAAGTGTATTCTCTCACAGTCTAGGAAGCTGGAAGTCTGAATTCAGGGTGCCAGCTCCAGGGGAAGGCTTTCTCTGTCAGTTCTGGGGAAGGTCCTTGTCATCAATCTTCCCCAGTTGAGGAGCTTCTCAGCGCAGGGACCCTGGGTCCAAAGGATGTGCTATTCTACTGACTCTTGTTTCTTGGTGGTATGAGGTCCCCTGTCTCTCTGCTCGCTTCTCTTTTATATTTCAAAAGAGGTTGATTTAAGACATAACGTAGTCTTGTAGATTGAGTCCTGTCTCATTAACATAAGTGCCTGTAATCCTGCCTCTTTAACATCATAGAGGTAGGATTTACAACACATAGGAAAATCACATCAGATAACAAAATGGTGGACAGTCACACAATATTGGGAACCTAGCCAAGTTGACACATATGTTTTGGGGACACAGTTCAATCCATGGCAAACATGATAGCAGTTTCTGTATGTATTTTATTGAAGAGATTGACTAGTTTACTTGAGGATAATTATCATCTCTTTCATCTTATGTATCCAGTGTTTACCTAACCTAGTATCTGGCACTTACAAGGTCCTGAATAAATGACTTTTAAATCAAGTTAACACATTCAGCCTGGAATTAACAGACAGTCTTTCTCCAGCTATTTCTTTTTCTTGGTTTCATTCTATGAATGCATATTTTTTCTAAAAAAGGATCTTTTTCTTTCTGATTTAATTTGTTTTATTTCTCATTTTGCACTTTTGTACGGGCCCGTGCATGTGCGTGTGTGTGTGTGTATTTTTGTCTTTTGATTTTCTTTTTGTAAAGGTATTCAACCTGCATAAGACCTTTTCATTGGCACAAGTTAATAAACCAAGGGAGAAGAGGAAGAAACCTTTTTTTTCTGAACTTCAGTCTTAGCTTTCTTCCAGTTATTTCTCAGAAAGTCACAAATAGAGACAGTGTGCTTTAGAAAGAAAATGACACTGGCTCTTTTTCACCCAACTGTCTTTCTTTTTGTGTCTGCCTGGGTCGAGTCCACATTTCCAGATTCAAGTCACAAGGAAGCACGTTAAGTGTGTCTTGCTGCTGGCATTTATCCTGGGCCTCTGAGAGGGGCTTGGAAAGCCGATGCAGCGAAGCTTTCAACTTGCACTTCGGCGCTGAACTGCTGCAGAGAGAACTGGGTGTTGGTTATGTGTGGGCAGGTTTGGATGAACTGGGACTAGGGAACGTTTGTTTACTTAATAAGAGACCATATACACAGAGAGAAGAGGACGTGAGGGGCAGGTGCAGTAATAATGAGGAAACAACCATCTTATTCATGCGCCAGGACTCCAAGCCGATTATTTTAAGCTTCCATTTCCGATCTGGACTGGAGGACTGTGACTGCCTGAATAGGAGGAACAAATCACTGTGAATGGAAATGGAGAGACTGAGAGGTTCTGCTGAGTTACTGTGACTTTTTAACCATTACATGGAGGGGAAGAGGATGCGTTGATATTTTTACAACAACATGTTAAATTGTTCTTCTTTTTCTTTAACACGTTGAAATTTACTTCTGAAAAATATTTTGCTGCATTAATTTTTGTTTTATTTGTGATTTTATTCAACACGTCCCCCAAATTCAAGGAAGAGCTGAGTAAATTTTGTTCACCAGTATATTTCCCTCTCCCAAAAAGCAGTAGCACAGCGAGCTACTCTGAAAGCCTAAGAGATTTGAAGAGAGCAAAGAAACCCTGTTTGCTGGAAGTGGAAGTGTTTAACCACTGTTGCTCCCGCTCTTGGCCTTCAGAGCACAGCCTTTGCGTGCATGTGGAAGGTTCCAATGTTGGGGTCCCCAGGGTTCACCACTGTCGTCAGTGGAAGTTGGAGAAAAGGACTGGCAGAATTTCTTCACTTTCCTTTCCCTTAGCCCTCATTTTGTCTTTAAATGCCTGTATTATTTTTAAAAAGCTAGGAGATATTGAAGAAACAGAATCTATAACTAAGCAGGGACATTTTTCTTACATGATATATAATGAATATATAATACTGGTTACATGTTTTTAAAACAGTCCCTGGGTAACACAAATGGTTTGTGCTCAACTACTAACCAAACAGTTGGCGGTTCAAACCCACCCAATGGCACCACAGAAGAAAGGCCTGGCCATCTGCTTCCATTAAGATATAGCCAAGAAAACCCTATGGAAGTCCGTTCTACACTGTAACACGAGGTCACCATGAGTCAGAAACTATTCAGCGACAACAGGTTACATGTTTTAACTTGATCGTAATGAACTTGGATGTACAATTTGAGACATTTTTATAAAAATAAAAATGATACTGCTTGACAACTTTTGCGTTAATAAATTTTAGTTTCACATGAATGAGGTAATGATTTCAAGCACTGCTTCTCAAACTTTGGTGTTCATACAGATCACCCTGGGATCTTGCCAGAATGCAGTTTCTCATGCAGTAGATCGGTAGTGACGTCTGAGGTTCTGCATATCTAACAAGATCATAGGTGATGAAAATGCAACAGGTCGCAGGACTGGACTCTGAGAAGCAAGGTTTTAGATTCACTAGGGTTTCCAACTCTTGGAGGTCAGCCTGTATGTTTTCACTGTTTTCAAAAATTTATTGATATCTTCTTCTACTACTTACATATTTTTATCCAACTAATTAAAATCAAACCAAACCACAACAGTTGCCATTGACTCGGTTCTGACTCATCGCACCCCTGTGTGTTTCAGAGTAGAACTACACTCTGGAGTTTTCCATGGCTGTGATGTTCCAGAAGTAGATCACCAGGCCTTTATTCTGAAGCACCTCTGGGTAGACTTGAACCACCAACCTTTCAGTTAGTAGCCGAGCACTTAATTGTTTGAGCCACCCAGGAACACCAACTAATTAAAGTAGCTTTCTTTTAATTTGCTTTTTGTCTCTTTGTGCTAAAAATAAGTATCTCATTCAAAGCTTGCAAATTTTGAAGCTACATACGCCATATAGAAAATTACATTTTCATAACACTTTACATCAAACTGCAGAACAACTTTCTGTGTTTTAACTATGCAGACAAACCACATGCACTAACAGGTTATATTACAAAAGTTCACATGTAAATTCAGCTGCAGTCTGGACACTATGGTTTCGAGGGACATGCAGGCCAGTTGGCATAACAAAGTTTATTAAGAAAATGTTCTGCAGACCACTTTGGTGAGTGGCGTCTGGGGTCTTAAAAGCTTGCGAGCGGTCATCTGAGATGCCTCAATTGGTCCCAACGCACTTGGAGCAAAGGAGAATGAAGAACACCAAAGCCACAAGGAAAATTTTAGCCCAAGAGACAAAGGGCCACATAAACCAGAGACTCCATCAGCTGAGACCAGAAGAACTAGATGGTGCCCGGCTACCACCAATGACCGCCCTGTCAGGGAACACAACAGAGAGTCCCTGACAGAGCCAGAGAAAAGTATGGAGCAGAACTGAAAGTTTCTTTGTGATTGAATTATATCTCAAACCAAACCAAACCTGTTGCCGTCGTGTCGATTCCGACTCATAGCAACCCTATAGGACAGAGTAGAACTACCCCATAAGGTTTCCAAGAAGTGGCTGGTGGATTTGAACTGCTGACCTATTGGTTAGCAGCTGGGCTCTTAACCACTGTACCACCAGGGCTCCATATGGACAAAAGTAGAAATGATATCCCTTAGTCTCCTTTGATAGTTGTCTAGACATATTTAAATACAGCTTTATGGAGAAAACCAACATATATTTTATAGCTGGCACCACTGAATGCTTTACCAAAGAATAAAGGGATACTTACAAAATAGTCTATCAACACTTCCTCTGGGCCGTCTGCAGACACCTCCTTAAGGTGCACCAAGTAAGAAAACGTGCTTAATTATTGCAGACAAATGAACTCAGCTCTGATTTTGATTCCAGGCTCCCTGGTTCCCTTTTCCATGCGGATCTTACATGCGGAACTTCAGCAGTATCTGGGAAGTCCCCAGGAGTCACTTGATAGATTGCACAGAATGAAAACCATCTGCAGCAAGGTAAAGATCTCTCCAAAATGGCTTTCCCCTCTTGATTTGAGAATACGCTCTTAATGTCCCTTCCTAACAATAATAAACATTCTACTTTGTCCTCTCTCTGTCCCATGCAGCCCACTCTAATGACCATCACCACTTTTTCCTTCAAAAAGGGAAGGCGACCTGGTTCCACATGACCATTGTATTCCTCATTCTTGCTGAAATAATTTTTAGGGACCATGGATGGTTTTTGAATCCTAAAGTCCTTCTTGGTATTTACTAGATAAGAAGTAGGCAAGTTTTCTCTTACGTAGAAATCACATCTTAAACATGTATCTAGGCTGCCAGTTGAAGTACTTAAATGTGCTGTCCCATTCATGCATTCCACAAATATTTATTGAGCGCATACTTTGTGTCAAACAGACACTGGAGCAATATTTAAAGAGATAATGATTAAGAGTTTTCTAGAATCAAAGCAAATTATACTGTGTAACGATGACCATCATTCATAATACTGTCTCATTAATTATTAATCAATAGAAGAATTAAAAGTGCTTTCTTTTATTCTTGGTTGTGAAGTAACCATTATATGGAAGGCGCCAAACTGTTACAGCAACAGAAGATCAAATTATATACACTAACTGGCATTAGAAAGAAATGGGGGGTTTAGAATCTTGGCCGTTTTCAGGCTGTGGATAGCCCTATACTCTTAGATTCTTCATCTTCAGGATAGGAGTATGACCTCCCCTGTCGACCTCACGATGCTACAGTATAGTTTAAATTAAGTAAGTTATGTGGAAGTGCCTTGAAAACTCTAATACCAACCAGGTTTTAGAATCAGCAGTGCATTATGGTTTTTTGAAAAAATAAAATTATATTTGTCAAATTCCTTCTTTCAAATCTCAACTGCTCTTGACAGAAGTTTTATCTAATTCCAAGATGGTGGTGTTATCAGTATTACTAGTAAGGAAGTAAGTGTCCTTCCTTACCTGCATATGTTTGTCTTCTCTGAAGCATAAACAGACTTTCCTAGGTACCTTTTTATCCCTAGACTTCATTAGCTTCCATTTTTCAATGCAGTAACTTAAAAGGAAAAAAATGTTTGCTTTCTTTTCCTTTGATCAGTTGATGGGAAAATATTGTTACCACCGTTTTTTAGATTGTAACACCTTTTTAAATTGAATCTTAACAAACACAATAAAGTATATTTATTTTCAGAAATAGGAAGCATATAACTTGATATTGAGAAATTCTAAATCAGTGGCCTTCTAATCACATTACCTCTGAATCACTTTGGGGGAAATGTTTATAGTATTTGAGATAAAAATGTCTGAGTCTTAGGGTGGTTTGAGGGTGGAAAGATCAAGTCAATTGAAATACCTTTGCAAGTAAGTTCTCCTGGGCCTAAAGTATTTTATACTTGTAGTATTAAGCTCCTTGTGTGCATAATAACCTGTTGCCATCGAGTCGATTCCAACTCATAGTGACCCTACAGGACAGAGTAGAACTGCCCCATTCGGGTTTCCAAGGAGCAGCTGGTGGATTCAAACTGCCAACCTTTTGGTTAGCAGCTGAGCTCTTAACCATAACAGAATGTAATAATTAAAGGAACCACTCACCACTAGTTGTGGAGCAGTGAGGGGGAAAAGATGGGCTAAGCAGTGGAATCTTCCCACGGTACTGTTTTAGGCCACTTTTACTTATCTTCCGTAAAACGAACACTTGTATAGTGTTCACTGTGAATCCACCATTGTTCCTAAGTGTTTAACAAATATTAACTCATTTAATCCTTATAACATTCCTATGAAGTAACTGTTGTTATTACCCAAGTTTACAGATGAGGAAACCGAGACACAGAGAGGTTAAGTAACTTGCCCAAGATCACACAGCTGGTAAGGGCCATAGCCAGGATTTGAACCCAAGCAGTATGGCTCTAGCTAGGGTCCATGCTCTTAATCACTGTCACATCTGAAGTGAGAAGGACCCAAAGAGGCTTTCTTCTCTTCCACCCAGTGCCAAAGTTTCTGCTCCATGTAAATGAGGAACCTATGTTATTATGTTCAGTGGTGAATTAAATCTGCTCAGAAGACCCCTGTGATGAATGTTTGAAATACCCTCTCCCAGTGATTGGTACCTGTAGATGGGGTCAGCCTTATGGTTTGTTGGACTAGGTGTCCTTCCTCAGACTCTTAAGGATGGTTTCATCCCGAAGTGACCCAGTAATGACTGTTGACAGCTAAGAGTGGGGAGGATAGAGATGAAGCAGGTTTGGTGCAGTCACAACATAGGAGCATTCATCTTATGCAGACATAGCCTTAAAACAGCAAGAGAGAGAGGGAGGTAAGAATTTAAATAGAGTAGGGAACCTGCTATCAGTAAGTAAATGTGACTTGTGTATCTCTTATTCCCTTAGTTGGTCTCAGATTCTAGTGCTTCTCATAATGTGAATATATCACCACACCTCATATAACTCTGATGTTCAAAGATATTTTTCTTACGGCATGACCTTAAGTGTAAGCCAGTACTTCTTACAATGCTTAATTGAAAAAACGGGAATTCCAATCCTGGAGGAAAAACAAGTAATTGGACTTACTAAGACACGGTGTGTTGGTCTTCAGCCTAGAGTTTTCATGGTTGATTACAATATGTAATTTTATTTGTCGTCTTATATGGTGACTTTAAGCTTGACTTCTCCCCAAAAGTGAGTGTCAACACCACTGTAACATAACTAGTTAATGCTTTAAAAAAAAAGACAGACCTAGAGCATGATCGTACATGAGCCAACCTTAAATTTCTCCTATCACCCCTGTGAAAAATAAGAAATACAATCCTTAAATTTCCTTTCTCGCTTCCTTTCAGTTACGGGCCACGTAGTACCCTTTGGAGCATTCTTTACTCTTCCAAGGCTGGTTTGATGTTTAAGCTGGTTCCCGCTGGAGATCAGTATTAGGCACTTTGGGGCATAGAGTGATTTGTCTCTGACCCCGCAACTCTCATCTCAGGACAGCTCTGTCTGGACTTATTCATTTGTTAATGCAACAAATATTTATTGAGCACCTACTGTGTGCTTATTGTTGTTGTGGGCCGTCGAGTCAATTTTGACTCACAGCGACCCTATAGGACAGAATAGAACTGCCCCATAGGGTTTTAAAGGAGTGGCTGGTGGATTCGAACTGCCAGCCTTTTGCTTAGCAGCCGAGCTCTTAACCACTGCACCACCAGGGCTCCTACTGTGTGCTACATGCTGGCAATTCAGTGGTGAACAAAATACGAACGCTGCCCTCAGTGAGTTTACAATCTAATAGACAAGGCTTGTCTCACCCAGTCCTTTCATCATGGTCATTCAGAATTAAAAAATAGAAATTTCTGTTCATGCTAGAATTTATTTACTCAAGAAGTGAAAAATCTAGAAATAATAAAACCTAACACACCACTATTGTGACAGTATTGATTTGGTCAATTAAAGTTAAGAGAATTAAATATGTTACTTCCATTCAGGTCTGCCCTTTGGCATGACCACTGATTCTCTCTGGTTTCCAACTGTAAATAGTAGGCTAGACTGAAAAATCTGTAAGATTCTATCTAGAATTAAGATTCTGGTTTTTTAAGTCTTTCATAACTCAAGGAATAGCCTTGGAAAGATTTAGACCTACAAATATCTTACCAAGAGCTTGCCCTGTGTGGACTATACTCTTTCCTGTTTTGTTTAGAGCACTCACCATGCGTTACCCCCACCCAAGTGCAAAAGCAGCTCTCTTCTTGGCTCAGCTTACTGGGTTCAACATGGATGCTGATGGTAGTGGTAGCGATGATAGCGATGGTAGCCATTAACATGTATTAAGTGCTTTCAGTGTAACAGGCACCGTGATTAATGTTTTACATTAATTTTCTCAATTAATGCTTACAACAGCAGTACAAGGCAATATCCCCAACTTACAGGTGAGGAAACTGAGCCTCTGAGAGGTTAAGTGTTACTCAGAGTACTGCAGTTAGTTAGTTGTGCGGCTTGCGTTAGATCTCAGGTCATATGGCTCCAGAAACGTCATACTTCACTACTCCCCTATACTTATCTGTAAAATCTAAGACTATCAGTCCTTCCTTTTTCCTCAAATTCAATGTATTCCCTGATGTCTATGTAAAGTAGTGTTTCTAAACTTTGGTCTTAATGTGTCACCTTGATATAGCCAAAAATTTAAGTGGCTACCTACTATACTCGCTTCTGCCAAAAATTGGTTTCCAAAGGTACAGAGAAATAAGGACTTTTCAAATGGGTGAGGCTAGTCAAAACAGGGAAAAGAAATTAGTTGAGAATGTTAAATATCTCCTTCGGTGACGTTTTCCGCTGATTCCTCCTGCCTCAGTTTACCCTCCTCGTGCGTAAACTTGGAGATGGTAATATCAAACTGCATCACATACTTACTCAGGCTGGCTCAGGAAACCATCATCGTAGCAGTCTTGCCTAATAGTTTTAAGTTGCTGTCACTGAGCTGGACCACACACAGATCACAGCCTCTAGTGCCCTTGATAACCCTCCTCACAGGGACAGAGCTGAATAGGCAGGAGTCCATACTGGTGTTGCACCAGGTGGCAGTCAGCTGGCCAGTAGCTTTGATGTTGATCTGAGATACTTAACTCAAGGACATCCTACAAAACTAGGGTTGTTATTTCCAGAAAGAAAAAAGAAGTAGATAAGTTACTTGGTTCATATTCCCCAAAGGGCTCTCTATCTCACTTTTTTCATTGCTTGCGTGGCATCTGTTGTGGGTCTTCACAGTAGTTGTTGCAGGCTGGCGATCAGGAATGATTTTATACTCAAATGCTTTGGAACGGGGTAAATAAAGCAAGAAGCCCAACTAGGACAGTTAAAGGTTTTCATCCTTTAACGATAACATCAACTAAGACAATTCCGGTTGATTAGAAATGACTACATTTGCCATTTGTATAGATGTATTTTGAGCCCTGCTGTCTGATAATTGCCACTCCAGCAAAAGTCACATCTTCTCAGGTTCAGTTCCCAGCATGGA